CTAAAGTTTCCCATCATGTACTCTGGGGCGGGTCTGTTTGCCTTCTCTGGACTGGTTCTTTCAATCTATAAACTCAGGTCCTTCTGGTCTTGAAAATTCTTTCTTTTCTCTGTTCTGTCTTTCTAGAACGCTCATTCTTAATGTTCTTAATGTTTCATACTTTCTATCTCTTTGTCTTTTGGGTCTTTCTTGGGAAATTTCCTCAAATTGATGTTTCAATCTATTGAATTTTTTCATTTTTATTTGCTTGCTTTTCATTTCCAATAGTTCTTAATCTTTTCCTAACCTTCTAAATGTTCCTTAAAAAGAAAAATTACCTTATTCATAGATGAATGACAATCGTTTAGCTGAAGATATTAATAGCTTTAAAAAAAAGTTTTATTTTCCCTGCCCTATTTTTGTTTTCCTCAACTTTATTTATTTTGATGATTTTGTTTATTTTGATTACTAGCTTCCCTTCTGGAGAGCTATCTGCTAAGAAGTGGGGAGGCTGACTAGAGATCCCTCCCCATACTGATCATTGTTTTTCCCTTGGAGAAGGGCCCTCCACCCTCCTAGGGAAGGGTGGATCTGTCAGTCTTCAAGGAGCATTAAGGGGAAAGGGGAAAGCGGAAAGCTGGGAGGGGCTGTAGAATCGGCTTAAGGCTAATACATTCCTTTATTTTTGTTTCCCTGTCAAGGCTATGTGTCTGCAGTCCCCAGCTCTGTTTAGGGAAAAAATTCCAGTCTTTGGTAGGAGAGGGAAGGTGGCTCCCCTGCCAAATGGTGGGAGATGAGACAGGCTGCTCTAAGCTTCTTAGCTTTCATCCCATCCTCTTTATCTTCCCCTCCCATCAACCATGTTGTTGTTAGGTGCCATTGAGTCAGTACCGACTCATAGCGACCCTATGTACAACAGAAAGAAACACTGCCTGATCTTGGGCCAACCTCACAATTGTTGCCATGCTTGAGTCCATTGATGCTGCCACTTTGCCAGTCCATCTAGCTGGGGGGTCTTCCTCTTTTTCTTCGACCCTCCACCCTACCAAACATGATATCCTTCTCCAGCGACTGGTCCCTCCTAACAATATGTCCGAAGTATGAGAGATGAAGTTTGGCCATCTTGGCCTCCAAAGAGCACTCTGGCTGAACTTCTTCAACACAAATCTGTTGGTTCTTTTGGCAACCCATGGCACTTTCAATACTCTCCTCCAACACCATCACTCAAAAGCATTAATTCTTCTACGGTCTTCCTTATTCACTGTCCAACTTTCACATGCATATGAGGTTACTGAAAACACCATGGCTTGGGTCAGGCGCACCATAGTCCTCAAGCTGATATCTTTGCTCTTCAACACTTTACAAAGGTCTTGCGCAGCAGATTTGCCTAATGCAATACGTCATCTGATGTCTTGACTGCTGCTTCCATGAGTGTTGATGGTTGATCCAAGAAGAATGAAGTCCTTGACAACTTCACTCTTTTCTCCGTTGATAAGATTGTTGTTTATTGGTCCAGTGGTGAGGATTTTTGTTTTCTTTACATTGAGATGCAATCGGTACCAAAGGACCATAAGTACAGGATATTGCCAGTTCTGAGTCCCGGTGATTCTCTGGTACAGATCTGGTGTTGATCAGCTTTTCATTTTCTATTGCCAGTCTAGGGCTGTTTCAGGTGGCTAAGTTGGTTACTCCCTTCCCTCTTCTACTCATCTTGTTTTAGCTTCCAATATCACTTGTTTTCTTCCCCCTTCTCTCTTTTCTAAACTATGTCTTTTTTTCTTTCTTTCTTCAACCGTTTATTGAAGTTCTTATGAAGTTTTTGGTGGAAATAAAATTAGACACCTGTGAAATTAAATCGATCCATCATCTTAACTGAACTTTGTTTTGTCCATTTCACACTTTCAATGCCTAGACAGTGAATGGAACAGAGTGGGAGCTAAGGAAATGAGTAAACGAATGTCTTTGAATGAAGCACCTAAACAGGGTACAGGATTCCACAGGGCAGGACATTCAGAAACACACATGAGCTAACTGAGTATTTGGTTTTGTTTATTTTATAGTGACTTGGATTAAAGTTTACAGAGCAATTTGGTTTTCCATTCAACAATTCATACACACTCTGATTCATAACAATGATTGCAGTTCCCTGATGTAACAGCACTCTGCCCACTCCCTCCCTGTGTTAATTATTTCCATTCTTCTTTCCTGGTCCTTCTTACCTTCTACACTTTGTCCTGGGCAAGTGCTGCTTTTCTTCCCCCTTAAATCTCTTTTGGTTAGTTGTTTTAAGGAGTGTATACCTCCCTGGGTATCACTGATCATAACATCGGCCTGTTTTTCTCCCACTAGAACCAGGCCCTCTGTGATCCCTTTCTGAGTGGTCAGCAGTGGTAGGTAGGCACCATCTAGTTCTGCTCTCAGGGTCCTGGAGGCTGGGACCTAATTATTTCCTTGCATCTTTGCTTTTCTTCACTCTTCTTTGCTCCACATGGGGTGATGCCAATTTTATTAATTCAACTGAACTTTTAAAAGTCATGTCTCAAAGGGATTGCAATCACTGTAACAAAATGAAGTATATGATTTGTTGAATGTAAAACTGATGATCTACTTTGTAAACCTTCACTCAATTCACAATAAAAAGTTAAAAAACAAAACATAAAGTCATGCATCCATGGAGAAACTTGGAGAAGTGTGATTATTACATTTTGTTATTAATATTGATTTTCATATGTGCACTGCGCATTGGTTTTAGTGCTTCAAAGTCACTGCTGAACCTCTGGTATGGTGGACTTTCACTTTACCAAGCTGGAGAAAGAATCTGAATTTGATTGTATCACTACTTAGATCAAAACAAAAGAATAAAGCTTATCAGAAGCAAGTCCACACTTAAAGCAGTTTGTAATCCAGCCTGTGTTTACTTCTCTGGATTCTAGAAGAGAAGTAGTGCAAATCTTAGTCTTCTCCTGGGTCACATCTGAGAACTATCCACTCTTTTGCTGACCATGTAGTAGCTGACTTCTAGGACTGTTCTCTCTGTGGAAAACACTTTTCTTCCCACTCTTCTAATGCCCCCAAACAAAAAACAAACACACCCCCTAGTGAAGAATTGATTCCAATTCATAGTCATTGTTGTTAAGTGCCATCGAATCGGTACCAACTCATAGCGACCTTATGTACAACAGAATGAAAAACTGCCCAGTCCTGGGCCAACTTCACAATTGTTGCCACGCTTGAGCCCATTGATGCTGCCATAGTTACCCCATCAAAAGTTCTACTCAAATCCATCTTCCAACTTTCAGCTTAACTGTCATCTTTTTGAGGAAAGTCATTTCGTTAGCATGAATGTGTTCCATGCTTTGTTTCCTAACCACCATATAAAGGAGCTCTGGTAGTGTAGTGGTTACGAATCGGGCTGCGAACC